GCTCGTTGGAAATGCGACTCTCCAGGGCAGCCTTGGATGCAGCAATCATGAGATGCTCGAATTTGAGATCCTCAGGACAGTGAGAAGAGCGTGCAGCAAGCTCACTGCCTTGGACTTCAGGAGAGCAGACTTTGGCCTCTTCAGGAACGTGCTTAGTGAGGTTCCATGGGATACAGCCCTAGAGGGCAGAGGGGCCCAAGACTGTCGGTTGATATTCAGAGATCACCTGCTGCAAGCTCAGGAGTGTTGCATCCCAACTAGAAGGAAGTGCAGCAGGAGGGCCAGGAGACCTCCTTGGATGGATAAGGAGCTCCTGAGGAAAATTCAAATGAAAAGAGAGGCTTATAATAAGTGGAAGCAAGGACAGGTGGCATGGGAAGAGTATGGGGATGTTGTCCGGGAAGCTAGGGACCAGGTTAGGAAAGCTAAGGCCCAGTTACAATTAAACTTGGCTAGGGATGTTAAGGATAACAGGAAGGGATTCTATAGGTACACTGCAAATAAAAGACACACTAGGGACAATGTGGGCCCTCTTCAGAAGCTCTCAGGAGAACTGGCTACCCTGGATTTGAGAAGGCTGAGGTTCTGAATGACATCTTTCCCTCAGTCTTCACTGGCAAATGCTCTGACCACACCACCCAAATCTTGGAAGGCAGACGCAGGGACTGAGAATGAAGACCTTGGGCCCACTGTAGGAAAGGATCTGATTCGAGACCATCTTAAGAACCTGAACGTGCACAAGTCCATGGGTCCTGGTGAAATCCATCTGTGGGTCCTGAAGGAGCTGGCGAATGAAGTTGCGAAGCCACTGTCCATCATATTTGAAAAGTCATGGCAGTCAGGTGAAGTTCCCAACAACAGGAAAAAGGGAAATTATAACCCCCATTTTCAAGAAGGGGAAAATGGATGACCCAGGGAACTACAGACCAGTCAGTCTCACCTCTGTGCCTGGCAAAATCTTGGAGCAAATTCTCCTGGAAGGCACGCTAAGGCACATGAAAATCAACAAGATGCTTGGTGACAGCCAGCATGGCTTCACTAAGGGGAAATCCTGCCTGACCAATTTGGTGGCCTTCTATGATGGGGCTATGGAACTGATGGACAGGGGTAGAGCAGTTGATGTCATTTGACACTCGTACCCACACAGCTATATAGTGTTTCGCTGGTTCTGTGAATTATCAGCACACAAAACATATCCCAGGAGTTTTTGGGAGTTATAGAAGAGACAATTTCTGTAACTTTGGGACAATAACTACACAGAAGCCTCCAGACGTGGAGATATAAATAGGAGATAGTACAAATTTTCTTGATAGGAAGATGTGTTGTGTCCCATGAGAGATAGGTACTACCATAACCATTTTCAAATCATTGTGAAGACAGCAAAAAAAAATATGAATTTGTTATAGTAGCTCAAATATCGCTATAATTGTCCCTGTTGCAGAGCACAACCCAAAGACCACAATTTCTTCTTCACCGTATGCACCACAAGCACATTTTGATAGCAGTCTCATCCACAAGACAACACACCATGACCCTGGAGCCAGGAAGGCTTTCCTTTTTCATACACTGTGTCCTAAAATAATTTATACCAGTCACCAAGACTCCCTCATCTTCCCAAACTGGCTGTCACCTTGCTATGGTTTTGTACACAGTCAACTGAATATGGGTTTTGCTTTGGCTTAATTAAATCACAAATACACACCCATGTGGATTTATAAATCAGCACAACTGAAGATGAAAAACTCCAAGTGAAAACCAAGTAATTTTCAAAGACAGCTCATATGGCCAAATGAGAAAATGAAGCTGTTTTCAAAATAAAACTGTGTTTCCATAACCCTGTTTTTGTCCCAGCCACACTGAAGACATACTGAAGCAGCTGCCTCTTCTGGTAACTGCATTAAAAATGCTCCTCTCAAAGCCTAAAAATACAGTAAAAGAGCCTGACAACAATCTGCCATTTTCATTTTACTAAGTGTAAAATATCTTTGCAAAAACCATTTCATGTATTTGTGTAACTTGAAATCAAAGTGTGGCATTCATATTTCCATAACTTTTTTCAGTACAATGCAACCCCAGAATTTATATTTATATATGGATACATGAAATTATATACATTGTGGAGGTCAGGGCAAACAACTTTCCAGCTTCAACCTGGCCTACTCTCACAATTTGTTCCTCTCTTGTCACTACCCAGGAGACTTAAAGCTACCAAGTGATTAAGCATCCCCTTTCTTAAAAGCCAATGCATTCATAAGAAAATCCCAGCTATTTCAAAATCCCTTTCCTGCTCACCCACGTGGGCTCCATTGCCACCTCTCCAAAACATCATCCCTCTGCCATGTGCCACTGCTCTTTTGTCTCACAGTCTGGATCTCCTGGATCTCAAAACCAGGTGAAATTCACAGCACTCAAGACAACAGGTCCATCTAAATGCAATATATGATGCAGTATACAAGGTAACAGTAAGGAGGGAATGGCTTATATTGTCCCTCTTTTGAATTGGCCTATGGGAAACAATTTCTGAGGGAGAAAGATCCTTTCCTATACTCCTAAATATTTGCTTTTATGTCTTTTCCCATCATTCTCTGTAAGACTGTCTGCAGACTAAACCATGTTTTACATCCAGTGAGATGGATGGATGAATGGATGGATGGATGGATGGATGGATGGATGGATGGATGGATGGATGGATGGATACTCCAAAACCAAAATCTCTGGAAGAGGATGTGGCATGGTCCAAACAAATGCTCTTGTGCAAGCATTCATCTGTGTGATGCCATCAAAGCAGCACACCGTAATTATTAGCTAGTTTTTGTACATGAGCCACAAAGTTGCACTGAGTAATTTTCCTTTGCTTATTTGAATTAATTGTTATTTCTCTGTTGATAGAAGTAATTATTATAAAGTCTTATAAAATGTTTTCTTTCCCATTAAGAAAGCATCACCAAACAAACCTGACTGTGAGTCCACTGTAAATTATATATTGATATACTGTAAATTATGCATCTGCTATCTCGGCACCAATTAGCCAGGAAGGTTAAGAGTATTACTGCAAGATGATGTGGCTGATCATTTCATGACTTGTTTTGTTACTGCCAGGGTGTAATGGGATACTGTGAAATAATACATGCCATCTGGTGTGAGAGCAAAAAACAGAATAATGTATATCATCACCCAGTGTTTATGTCAGTACACATATTGCTGTGAGGGATTGGAAGGTATTTGTTATCTGTTCTCCTGCTGTGTGGCACAACACAATGGATGCTACAACTATTATTTTATATTGTCAAGAAGAAATGTCTTTTAGTTTTTATTATATCCTAAACATATGAAATCACAATATGATTTAATAGCATGCAATTAAGTACTGCTAAGCAAGTCCTAGTAATGTTTGGGAAAATTAGCCAAAGATGAAACAGAAATACACTAAAAATTTGATTTTATCTTCAGCTTTCAGCCAGAACTGTATTTTACAGTAGTAGGAACATCCTAAATGTTACCTAAGTTGCTGAACAGTGATGTCTTACACAGTCCTGAAAGATACTTATTTTTTAACAATTTGTGGAGCTGCTGTATGCTTTATGCAACACTATTTTCCACACTATCCAATTTAAATCTAGATACAGAACAAGTATATTAGCAAGCTGGAGGTATTCTTCAGATATGCCATCTCCCTAGCAAAAAATCTCAGTATTATGCTTTCCTTGCATGTTGAGAGCATTCTCTCAATTAAGTTTCCATTTAGTTTTGGAAGATCGAAGTTACTATGTAGTGAATATTTAAATATATGTAGAAAAGTATTTATTGAAAACTAATCTCAGTCTGAGCCAGTTAGCCCAAATCCTCTGTCTGAAATGATGAGAAATTCTCACCATGATGCTGCTGCATGTCACTAGAACTGGAGGGATGCAAGACAGGAAAACCTTTTAATTTCCATATGGGTCTTCTTCAAAAGATTATTTTGTTGGAGACACTACTGCCTACTCTCACTATTAGAGTGGATACCACAGTATATTTTGTGCTGGTTTAAAAAAATACCAGGCCTAAGAGTCTAGTTTCTGCGAGGGTCCAATAAGAAAGTGTTTCTATCTTACGTTTGTTGGGGGAAATTTAAAATTATAGTTCTACCCATTTTAGTATTTAAAAACCACCTTATTATTTTATAAATAAGGTACAGATTTGCAAGGGCAAGACTCGAGTTTTGTGCTGGATACATCTCCTTGGCTGCCAAGAAGTGACATATTTGGCCTTTAAATGTTCTGCCACCTTCTATTTGGAAGAAGGCTGATTGATGAGGGATTGAACATGTGATCACAACATCAAAGAGAAGCCACACAGCTCTTATGCAGAGATAATCATCCAGGATGGTATAAGCGTTTGTTCATTAAGTTGAATGGGTGTCCTAAATTCCTGCCTAAAGCATATTTTACTAGTCCTGTTCTTGTTCCTCCCTATGGAAACAAAACATATTTTTCTTAAATAATCACCTGTTGAAAATGGATTTACAACTTCTTTTAGTTCATCCTCAAAGGAAAATGTTTATATAGAACAGGTCACTCGCATACAATTCCCACCTCCACCAAAATCATATATATACAGAGTAAGACAATTTAAAACCCACCTCTACTGCCCTGCCCTCAGCTATCAACCCTATCAAGAACTCCATGATTATATTACCATACATGAAAAATACTCCATTTACAAAACATCAAACATTTTGACCTTTAAATGAATGGTGAGGGAAGACAATACAAAGATAAACTATTTTCTGATGCCTACAAACACAGTAAGATATACATCTGGCCACTCAACTGCAGAACAGACTATTTCTCCATTAAAGTGCATCATCCTTGCAACATGCAACACCAAGTAACAATTCCTGACTCCAAAAGCATAAACCCACTCCAAATCTCTTTCCAAATTGTAAGAGGCCTCTGAGGGTTGCAAAAGTCCTTGAAAAATTATCACAATGTAAGAGCTACATCATAAGGAGCACTTACCCTTGAAGGGCTTTTTCTCCAAACCAATCTCCCTTCCCTAGAGTACGGAGAAAGACCGGATCTTCACTGGGGGAGTCTTCACGAGTAACATTCACCTGTTGAAAGGCCAAACCCCCCCAGCATTTACACAACTTTTAATTAACAAATAAAACCTGTTTGTTCAGAGAGAGATTTGTCATCTCCTGGATCTCTCAGGAAAAGCTGTGGTCTATATCTCCTCTGGGAACCATGTAATTGCTCAGAGTTCTGCACTATTCCCTCAGCATCACCAACCAACCATCTAAGAAAATGAAGTTATTTTCCATTAATGTACCTACTACTCTTGCAAAAATGCAATTTGTGTGATTTTGAAGGGTTTTAACTCTAAACATGGAGTTGGTTGCACAAGCACAGTCACTGCCTGTATGGAGTCAGCAGCAGAAATAGATTTCAACTATTTCACACGTATCAGACACACACATGGCATAGGCTTCTGTTAGCTTTGTTTCACATGATTTCTTGTGTTACTAAGTTCACTTAATGGAAAGCAATAACAAAATCAAACTACATTTAGACATAATTGAAACAAAACAATTTGGAGCACTACAGGATGAAAGATGCCTCCTCTCTTTTTTACTCTATCAAATTCAGGTAGGGGACAACTCTAGCTGGAGTAAAAATCAAGCACTTTCACTGAAGTTTAAAGAAAAATAACTTCTTATTTTTTAGTGTTTTCGTTTTGCAATGAAAGAAGAAACCAAGTCCTGCTGATGGAAAGCAGACTTTCTACCCACTGTAAAAACACGGGTAGTGTAAGCCAAGGATAAAGAAACTGGCACTGCAACAACAGGAAGATGACTTCATATCCATGAATGATGATTTCTTACCGCTGGGGGGTCCTTTTTTTCTGAAACTATTTCAGAAGAAAAATAGTAATTTATCATCTGAAGACCCTTGGCTCTGTTTTCCTGTGCCAGTATGGGATGTAAATCCCAGCTGCCATGTAATGACAAAGCCCTTGATAGCCTACTGGATGCTGAGGATGGCATGACATATCGAGGATTCAAAGGGCTCCATGAAAGATGAATGTTTTGATGTAATGCCTGCTATGAGAAATATTTCTTCCTTTTCAGATGTTATCAGAGGTAACTAATACCTCTTACAGTACGAGAAGGCAGGTGAAATACAAACCCCTCCTAAAAGTACATGGTAGGCATCACCTTTCCCAATGTTAACCATATATAAAGTTAGTTGTCCAGTCTCTGCCTGCGGTCAGTGGAAAGGGACAGCGTTTCCAAAGCACGGGTTGTCCCAAATTTCACTGGGATGAACAACTCCCTGAAGCTATCTAATATACACAGGAAAATATCTCATCTGCTTCTCCTTTTCAGGCTGTTTAGTTTTAATCAGAGCTTTTGCATATGCAAATTCACAAAGCCAAAATCTGTGATGTCAGACACATCCTTTCAGATTTAAAGACATTCCAGTTTAATTTCACTATTAAATATACAACTGTGGCCTGCACCTTCTCCCATCTCTTTTATGGATGGTAAAACCAGTGGGTTTGAGTCATTAATGAGCTCTTAGTCTACATCACACTACATTTAACATCTGCAGCGACTCATTGAAGATCAGATGAGGGTAGGGAACATGTAATGGATGAGTCAGGAACACTTGTAACTGATGAAAAAAATTTTGGGAAAACAAAGGGAACTTTAATGCAGATTTAACCTTTTCTCTGAGACCTCTGCTGATTCAAAGCAATGAGTGCTAAGGGATTATGGGAGTGTGATTTCTATGTGTTTCAAAGTAATGAGCTATTTGAATAGCCATGTGCCAATGCAGAACCTATATGATCAGGCATTAGGCTGGTGCCACATCATGGCTTTTAGAAGGAAAATAGCGTACAATGACACAGTATGGCACATGCTGTCTCCAGTAAAGGCAAGGTAAGTGTACAATGGCACAGCATGGCACATGCTGTCTCCAGGTAAAGGCAAGGTACAGAGCAGGCATGGTGCAGCACTTAGCAAGCAGAAGGGACCAAGCTGTTCTCCTCTGACCTATTATTCAACACACATATTTCTGCACACAGGATGTCTTGAACACACTTTTGATTTCTATTCACTTGGATTTGAAGAAACATGCTAAAATAAATGAACTAAATGAAATCACGAGTGGGTCGAGTGTGGTGAATGGAGTTGACAAAGAAAAAGGGGAAAAGGATTTTACTCCTAAAAGAATGCTCCAGGGAGCATGGGCTGAAAGAAAAGGAGCAGAAGTCTTTCTAAGCATTTCTGAGATGAGTGATCGCTCAGAAATGTAAAATACCTTCTCTGTTCACTTGACTGTCCCTACAGATGCGTTGACATAAAAGGCAAGTAGAGTTTTTATAAGTAGCTGTAGCTGATAATACCCACGTAATGCTGCTGAATGTAGAAGCTACACACAAGGTCTCAGGTACATGGGCGCTGCAAACATTTTTTCTGGCTCATTAAGTTGCCTGGGTCAGGTTTTAGCACGGGGCATGGGACATTATGTGCCCCTGCTTCAGAAAGCCCCAGGCAGCACACATTGATATAGTAATTTTATACTTCATTGCTATTTATTCCATATTTCACTGCTGAGGCTCAAGTCTTCCTATCCTGGGCTGTATTCTTCGCATGCATTAGTTATTACACCCACTGTGTAGCTCTTATATCCCAATGTAGGTATTAAAACTAACCAGTCTTCAACTCTGTTCATCTTATGCAAGTCACTGACTATATTTTGCAAATCAGTAAGCTTGCAAAACTGGGCAGGACTTAACTGTGCCTGTGGGAATTTCTGTTAAGCCACCAGGATCCAGCTGAGGGTCTGGGAATTTCTCAGCAAGCTCATGTGCATTTTATTTTAGCTCTCTTTTTCTGGCCATCAGCTGTCATCGTAAGATATAGTAGCAAAAGCCAGGGATAAAGCCAAGGAGCATCTCAAGCAGGACTACAGGGCTCTGGAGCAATAGCTAAGGGCCATTTGGTGTACTTTTCTTCCACCCTGCAGGTGAGGTATAAGGGCTTAAGGAGGTGCAGGTCAACAACCAGTTGCCCAGCTGATGTCAAGAATAGGGATTTGGTTTTTACAACCAAGGGACGTTCTTTGGAGATTGAAGACTGCCAGAAAATGATGGGAGCCACCTGACCAAGTGGGGCACAAGCACCATTGCTAACAGGTTGGCCAACATGGCAAGGAGGGCTTCAAACACTCAACAGAAGAGGGAGGTGCACCCTCCCATTATTTCTGCACATTTAAAAAGGGGGAAAATAAGGATTTGAAGCACGCATCATGGTTGTCCTTATTCTGGGAGTACAGGAAATATTACTTTATTACTTATGAGTGGAGGGAAGCAAAAGGGCATGAGGGAATACCATCAAACTTGGATTTCTGCAGTACATGATTATTTAAGAAACTTGTCTATGACTCTCTTATTCACCTACAAAAGACCATGTTTTTCTTCCAATGAAGACTGGCTCCCAGACATAAACAGTTGAAGATGACACTGAAAATCTCGTTTTAGTACATGCAAGCTTATAGCTGTCTTGGGAGACAACCCCATGGCAAGTACAACACCCACACTGTTTTTCTATGAATGCCATGGGCAGTTTGCTACTCTTAATTACACTAGGCCAGTGTTAATATGTGCCTTGGTGCAAACCTCTGAACCAGGAGGCTGGGGTTGGCCTGCTTTCAGGCTTATTTATCCATTTGCGTTTACTTTCAAAGTACCAGTTTTCACCTGCAGTGGGAAATCACTGTGAATTCCCTTGAATATCTCCATCCTGCTATGTGGAAAGAAGCCAAATGTTTCTCAAGTGTAATAGTATCAGGACAGATAAAAAAAAAAAAAAAAAAAATCGAATGGAAGGAGAAACCTCAGTCTATAAAATCCCATCAGGATTTTATGGGAAAAGAGGTCAAGCCCCATATTTTCCTTGTGAACAGTGGAACAGAAACTTAGACCTTTTTTCCCCAAGGAAAGTGTTCAGACCTCTCAGGCTTCCTATTATTTAATCTGGAGAAGATGACAACTGATCAGACTTGTAAGAGGGATATCTAGCAAAGAAAACACTGAGCATTGTAGGGTATACTGTTAAAAATAACTGAGCTTTTTGGTCATTTACTGTAAAATTCAACAACTGCTTTCAACTCCAAAGTGTTTGCTGTGAGCACATGCATAAAACAGCGTGAGATCTATCTTTTTCCCCTTCAGGCCACTCTTCCCTACTGGTACAGTGCCAAGAAGTTTAATTAAATGTCAAGTGTTGCAACATTTGTGCCTTAGGGAGGGGAGAGAGAGAGAAAGTCCTGACTGGCACTGAATTTCGAGAGCATCATATCATGACCATTGTTTCCATCATCCCTCGTGCTTTCCAAGGGTGTCAACTTACCTTTCCTTTGCTGATTATGAAGAAAGTATCTCCTCTAGCACCTTGTCGTATAATATATTCTCCATTTTCATAGTGCGTCTATGAGAAAAAAGTCAAGATGAACAAATAGAATCAGAGACTGTTATTCAGCAAGATAGCTTGGCAGTTTCACAGGACAGCACTTCTGGAAACATTGCCCTGGACTAGTTTTATCTCAGTCTGACATTGGCCATGATTTAAAAACTGTTGCGTGTCAAGGAATACAACAATTAAAATGAAACTGTTTATGGCTTTCCCATTTTTCTTCTTACTGTACTAGTACCAGTTTTTGCCCAGATGAATTATCCTCACAGCCTAAATCCATTTATACTATGTAAACCAGAGGAATTTTCAACAGAGAATACAGTACATAAATGGTAATAATATTTATGTTGTAAAAGCAGTTCTTTTCCTCTTTTTTTTGTTGGTTTTGGTATCTTTCCTGCTTTGCTAGCAGGGGCTTTGTTCAACAAATAATTCAATTTGCTCAACAAATTCATCAACTCTTCTCCTGTTATTATAATAGTTTAACCCATATTTTATACCTTATTTTGTGGAATAGCCCTTGCTAAATTTATGTCACAGCTTATCAATGCTTGTATATACACTTGCAAAGCCTTCTTCCAACATTCAAATCATGTTTCTCTAGTTCTTCCTTGAGTGCCCAATCACATAGCGCTTTCTCTTTGCTTGACCTCTCTCATTGGCACGTCTCTTCATGCCCTTCCTACACTCCACATCTTTGTCTTTATGTATTTCAACTCATTCCTTTCACAGCTAATTCTGCCTGGCCTTACCACAATTCTTCCTGCTTGATCCAGCCTATCCTTCTCAATCCTCTAAAAATGTTTTTCCTCTTACTTCCTCCTTTCCTAACACAAATCAACTTATTCATCGATTTTGTTTTAACTGTATTATTTCTGTCTTCTAAGCTTCTAACCAATTTATTTCAGTCCATTTAGACTCAAAGCAGGCAAAGTATGTAAGTCCTCACTTATGACACATGCAAATAAATTACAAGCCTCTTGATTTTAGCTGGCCATGTATAAGGTAACAAGCTTTTGGAAGCCAGACTCTGTTGAAGGGGATCTTTCTGATAAAAAGAACAATGATTTTTGGCATCTTTTTAAATTCTAGCTCCAAAGTCCTGTATATACTGGTCAAAGAATTTCCAGAATGCCTTTTAAATGGGCAATAAATATTTTGCAGTTGCAAATGAATAAAAATTTATACAACTAGTTTAACACCCCAGACTTTGGCTTAGAACTTGAATGCTTTCAGTTTTAGACTTTCCTCCCAAGAGAAAGGGACTGTGGACAGAATATTGTATTTTCAGAGGCAATATTAAAGTTCAGTGATGAAAGCTAATTTAATATCTCAGCCAGATTTCACTGAAAACTAAGCATCACATAGGTTTTTGAGCATACGTCTTAAGACATAGCTCCATCAGGCCTCAACAAAATCAAAGCAAGATACAGAAATTAATTCCCAGCTGGAAGAGATGACCAGACTATATTAGCCATTCTTACATTTTCTTTTCTCCCCAGCTGAAAACCAGAGCTGAAATAAGGTGTAAAAATGGGACAGAGAAAACCCAACTAGAAATGCAGTCTGCAGAAATACAGCTGTATGACCTGCCAAGGTCAAGATAACCAGGCAGCAAAGCTAATAGTTACAAAGGTCTCGTGTGTGCAGAGCGAAAGAAAGATTATCATCTAAGGCATCAAGGTCCCAGTTTGGCATCAAAGTCCGAGAAAGTCTGCACTCAGGAAAACAGCAAAGATAAAGTAAAGAAATTACTGCTGGGAACACGCACATAACAGCAAGCCACAAACATATATTTTATAAGCTTTGGAGAATGGGGATAAAGGCTCAGCTTTCGTGAATTATGAACGCTAAGGCATTTACTACATTGTTGCTTTACAAGTAGCACCAGGCCTTTACAGTACTTCACTATGAAATGAATAGCTTTTATCACCTTTTGAATAAATTCCCAGTGCCCTAGTACTCAGTTTTCCTATACAATACAAAATTTTCACAGGCTAAACCAGTAAAGGGGTGCATCCTTAGCAATGCAGGGATGCCCATGGGGATGAAGAGTGCAAGCTAAGCTTGCAATCCAAATGCTCATGCCTTTATCAGAGCATAGTTAAGTGCTCCAATAAGAGGTTTCTTTCTAAGAAAAGAAGTGATAAAATAAAAAGAAGTGATAAAAAATGTCTCTTGTTTTTTCTGCCTTTTTGGGATATGCAATACATCCAAAATGAAAGATTGAAGGTTTCCTTAAAAAGAAAGTTTTAGTTCTTCCATTAATATTTATGGCCTTGATTTCAGTATGTCATATACAAGGTTTAAGTCCTAATAAGCACTTAGTATTTGTAAAATAAAAGTTCCATGTCTTTCCAGCCAACTCTCAACCCAAAGCCACATCATTACATCATATTTACAGAAAGAATGTGTTGGAGGGGTGTGTGCAGGGGGAGAGGACAGAGACTGAGAAGACTCTCATTAGCTTTATAACCAAGAGAAAGTCACGTACATATTACATAAACTCAAATTTCCCTTAAATTCATCAAACACAGATTTGTGGCCCCATCATCTATGCCAACCACAAGAGCTTCAGATTCTTTGCCATGCTTTTGGCACTCCTTGCATGCCACCATTTTCTGATGAAGTCCTTCTCCACAACACACTAGGGGGGACACCTTATACACCACACAGAGAAAACACAAGCCCTGCAACTTCAGACGCTCATGTTTGGGTAAAGGCTTTGCTCCACTGACCTTACTCTATTAGTCACCAACTTCAACTGGAGCTTCTGTTCCTGACACCATCAAAAACTGAGACAATTTAAAGCTCAACCAAGTGTTGACACAGGCTTGATGGAGAAAAACCAGTGCTGGAGACCAATCCAGTGGTTAAACTTTTCCTCCAGCTGGATGCCTTTGACTGCTATGTTTATACTCAGAACATTTGGAAAAAAGTGGAAAATAGATCATCTGTTTGAAGTGCTACGTAACCCATGTCAGCTGTGGTGCTGAGAGGCCAAAACCCTGCCAAAGGTCATGTCAGGGGAGCAGAAACACAAAGGTGCCTTTGAAATGGAGTTTCACTCCCTGCACCCAGTTTACACCACATAAACCAGTGAGGGTAACCTGGGTCTGATGACAGTGCTCAATGTATAATCCCTCTCCCCTATAATGGGATGTTATTTTGCTGGCGGTTTAAAAAAATATTCACAGAACCACCAGCAAAACTCCAAACATAAGCAGCTTTCAAAATACTTTTGTTTCTGTTCTGGACTTTCTGTTAAGCATTTTTGCAAGTCTGAAATGACAACAGCAATGCTAACAAAACAGAATTTGAAAAAATGTTTACTTGCTGAAAAACGCTTCAAACTAAGCAGGTTGCTATTGGTCTTCTGCACTGAATTCCTAAGGAATCATGAAACTTCATTTCCCTGGTTTTACTGTGTCTCACTCCCATGAGTTCTCTCAAAATGCTGCTCCTTGAAATAGTCAAGGGCAAAATTATTATACTATGGTCCTCTCCTTATTTATCCCATGAATTAAAGCACAGCAGGTGGGTCTTGAGTTTTTTGACATTCAAGATGTCTCAATAGCCCTCTAAACAGCAGCTTAGTTAAAGTTAAACAATTGGGAAATTAAAATATGAGAAAGGTGGATGGTTGATGGGAATTGAGGATTAACTCATGCCTTTTAATTCAACATCATTATGGAACACAGGGTTGGGAAAGCAAATTAGAAAGGGTAAGCCAAAGAGATGGGGGATGTTGCTAAACAGCTCATTCCATGTACACCTTCCACCATACACTGGGGGATGAGGCAGCACAGACTGGCCGATAGTGGGGTATCACAGCAGGAATTAGTACATTATTACAAGAATTAATACATTACCAGCACATCCACCATCCCAAACAGCTCTGAACTTGATCTGGAAACCTGCTGATGACCCTATTGGGACCTGGGGTTGCAAACCCCTATTTGAGATTCTGTTGGCTCTAACTGAGTTGTAATCTTCTTCAGCAAAGTTTTCTTTTTCTCACTAATGGATTACAAACTTACTCTTCCTTCTCAAAAATTAAGCTATTTGAATTCAAATTACATATTTGAATACATATTTTAAAGTCAAGGTTGTTTTGGAATAGTTATAGGACAGCGTCGCCTTAGTAAAGCCTTGTGGTAAACTTTTTATTTGTACTGCACTGATTCAGTGTGGCTTCTTAGTGGACTGTGACAGCAATGAGAAGAAAAAATGTCCCTAGGCAGGTTTTGGATGGTCTGGGCAACCAACTGTGGTGTCTTCTGCAGTTTACAGTTTGCTTCTGATCCCCGCAAAAGCATCCCCTGAACAGCAATAGTCTTAATGCACCTAAAAAGACTATTCCTGTGTGGACACTCAGGTCTAGTCTACAGAATAATACAAATCACTCCAAATGCTGGGTTTATTTGTCCTTGACTGAAGTTTGTCTTTACATCCTTGTGAGACAGGAGGTGAGGAGCTGGTAAAAAACCAAGCTAAAAAGCAAACAAGGAGGAACTGGTCTGCTAAGAAATGCATTTTCCTTAGACTAAAAAATGTTGGTGGCGTACCTCCTAATATCAAGATATAATATGTGCTTCTGAAAACTTGTTCACCTTGATTTCTCTAAGTGAAAGGAATATAACAGGATGTAAGGGAGCAGCCAAAGAGGTACACTCAACAGTTATTTCGTTGAAGCAAAAGCAAGTACAACCTACACCTACTCTACTGGGTACAAAAAGAAACAAATGAAACAACAGTCCTATAACAGTCGCCTGCTGTTTCTGAAATTGAAAGATGCAATAAATGTTCCCAATTTGAAGATCTTCGGTTAAATGATTGCTTTAATTTCCTGATTATTTCTCTTGGGCTTTGGCACTACTGTTTCACGAATCTGAGTTTCACTGCGCAGAGAACTAGTGGGAAAGGAACATGCAACAAGAGTAGGGATGGAGCTGAGACTGGTACCATTCTTCTCTTCCTTTTTCTCAAAACCTCCCCCAGTTTCAGTGTCCTAC